TCCCTTAAAACTTGGGGATCTTGTTACAGGTGCATTCGCTCCTTGTAATTTATCATATCCAATAAAACTCGATTGTTCTTCTCTGTTACCGTTCTTTTTACCTCACACGTCTGTCTATTATCTGCCTCTCTTTTGAATCTTTCTTTACTCTCTTCTCTTACTCTGTGTGCTACAAGGAGTGAGAGGGGGGCAACTCGAACTGCTGCATATCTATGCAAAGTCCTATGTTGAAACCAGTCAGTCAGTCAGCAGCTAAAAGCTATGAACTTTGATAGAAGTCTGTCAATGGGATATTCACAATAGTCACTTATCAAAGTAAGGGGATATTGAAGTACACTTATGTAGTATTTGCTATGAAACAGCAACAACATCAACTGCAACAAGCCGCAGTATCATATCAATAACAAGAGAAATTTGAAAGGCGTCACTTCCTTCACTTATCTAGGAAACATCGTTTCACCCACAGGCGGAACGAATAAAGATGTCAAAGCCAGAATATCGGAAGAGCAAGACAGAACTTCATCATTCTGAAATCAGTTTGGATATCTGCTGCATTAAGCAGCATAGACAATAGAATTCGGATTCTGTTCAATTCCGATATTAAGTCAGCCCTTCCGTGTGGATCAGAAACTTGGATCACGCGCCACGCAAAGGATTTCGAATAGGCTGTAGACTTATCTACAGATACCCTTGCTGGTTCCGTACTGAAGATCAGAAAGAGTTAATAACAAGAAACTCTGGGTACCAACCAATCAAGAACCTTTTGGTGAACAAACTTCCTGAAGAAAATGGAAATGGGCCGTACACACACTGAGGAGACTGTTGGGTGACACCGTGCGTTAGGTCATTGCTCGAGTAGGAAACAACGAGTTGGGCATGTGTCGTAGATTGACGTGAGGGAGACCGTGCTAGGAGAAGAGGAGAGACTATGGTCAATCATGGGGACGGCTAAAGAGGACAGCAGAAAGTAGGACAAAGTGGAGTTGTTCTGTTGAAATTTAATGTTCCATTCACAGCCAAAGGGAACAATAATAATATAATACTAATCAAATAGGTTAAGAGCCTTTCTCTGATTGACTCTTAAGATCTTTGCAAATCATTAAATGCTACGTACTTTTACTAATGAATATTGATTTCCACTTTTTAAAAAATTTGGCAGCTTGTATCGACCACCGGGCGTGATTTATACATTATAACTAGTTAAGTATATGTAGGATCACAGAATACAGAATGCAACATTGCTTGTTGGGAGTTACTATTTGCCATTCATCTGTCTCATAGTATCTTAATTTCCCTCGATGTGTGCAAATAGACCTCCAGTAGTGTTTATTTTGTTTCTAGGTGGTTTAAGTAATGCAATAATTGCTCTTCTTTCGAATGTAAAAACATATAATTTCTATATTTGTCATCCAAAGAAATTTTAATCGTTGTTTGTCAGAACCAGTTTTTCTTTCAATCCAGTTGCAAAAAAATTGTAGGCTGTTTAGTGTGGGTTAACATCATTTGTCATCATTGTTTAATATTCAGTGTTTACTCGCAAAATGATTGTTATTCACTCATATCAGTCTTCTTTTATGATATGACAAAAATTGTGAGTTAACCTAATCTGGCTAGATATCAGACCTGATGAAGTATGATACTGATCAGATGATGATGTAACCAAGTAAGAGTTGAAAGAAATTAACATTTAGGCTAAAAGATGAGTTATCAAGATTCCTTTTGGATGCATAAGTCAGGTTTTAATCGTCTGAAAGCGATAGCCTCTGCAGTTGATTTATGAACAAAGGATATTAGTTTCCAGTTGTGATAAGTATATCTGGTAGTGAAATTTTTTTATCAAATAGGATATTTCTCTGTAGCAAAAGACTCGTATTTTGAAATGTAGTTATCCGTTTGTGTGCGTCGGTGTCACAGCGGTCGAATGCTGGCCAGCCATGTAGAACGTTCGGGGTTCAATATCCGGCCACCAACGCACTCCTTCACCTCACTAAGCTAGTAATGAGACTGGTAAAGAGGGAAGGTTAGGCATGGTGCTAGCAATGCCATCACGTAAAAATAAATACCACTGCTATCGAAACTTCAAGCCTCTAGATTGAAGCCCTATGTTCCACTGAGAACGTAAAGGAATAAAAAAAAGTTGGTTACAGGATTTTATCATGAGCTGACATTGGTTAGAGAACCATTGAGAAACTAACAGAGAGTACTGGACAGCTGTTTCGTCCTAGTTGGGGACTCTTCACAGTACGCACCCACTGAGGTTCGAACCCAGGACCTTCTGGTTACAAGGCGAACCTGCCTGGGGTTCTAGTGGGAAGTCGTGACCGGTAGGGCGCAGCAAGTCGGGTGTGAGAACTAATACTCGCCGAAGACATTGGCTAGCGGTTGCGCTATATCGTGAACTGGCAGAAGTTAGAATTCATGGGCTGGCGATTGGATCGGGTCCCAGTGATTTAATGGTCTACGAGCTCGCCTTGTAACCAGAAGGTTCAGGGGTTCGAAGCCTGGTGGGTGCGTACTGATGAAGAGTCCCAAACAAGGACGAAACAGCTGTTCAGTACTCTCTGGTGGGTTTTCCAATGGTTCTCTAACCAATGTCAGCTCATGATGAAATCCTGTAACCAATCCACCAAATCCCTACAAACCAATACTTGAAGAAAAAAGTTATCCGTTACTTTGACTCGTTGATTGACGCAGTCTTGTCTGGAAATTGCCCAGATAATAGTTATAAATCCATATATATATATATATATATATATATATATATATCCATTAGTCTGAGTAATCAGCGGGGAACAGTCAACTAATACATGAAATTTTATCTTATCGCTTGACCTGAGTAATTTACTCAAAAAGTGGTGGTTGAATTCAAACTCATTATTTATCTGATAAGATAAACGGTTGTTAACTGTCTAATGCCCTCATAGAATGACTCAGATCGTAATCCGCAATCAAAGCTTTACATAATTTTCTACCTATGGATTTCAGTAATCATATATTCCTAAATGTTTCACTAGACTGTATCATAATGCCTTTTTCACGCTCAGTTATGATGACTATAGTCTTATCTTTTAGGAGATACTATTAAATAATAATTAGTTGACAATGTTATCATAGGAGTAAATATGCTAGTGGTTTTTTGTTTTGTTTTTGACAAAGCAGCTAAGAGAAAAAGTAAACTTACATTAACAAGTGACAGCATAGACGATTTTCTTCCAATTGTTCCAATTTAGAAAGTAGATGACTAGTCATACTCTGTATTGTGTTCATTCTGTGAGATATTAGTCGTCATGTTAATTTTTACAGTATACATTAATTGTATATGTATTTACACTGCATTTCCTCCATTATTTCGTACTTTTTTTTATCAAGTAATATTTACGTGTTATAGGTTTTGTACGTAGGCGAAACATCGTCCACATGTTGTAAGGATTTCCTGTTGCAGTGTATTTGAAATGATGCTAATGAGTCATCCGATTTTGAAATGAATATACATATAGGTATGCAGATGATATTCATTGGCTGGACTATACTGTTTTTTTTAAGAAACAGGTTGGCAATCAGTTTTGGACTTACAATCTTACAAGCTTCACGTGATTTACCTCTGTAACTAAAATTCCTCAGTAGTTTTTCAGTAGATGGGAATCATCATTCCGGGTATTATTTCGTTATTAATAGATTTTTGTATTTTCACAGTATTAGCAGTATTCTTTGTGTTAGACGATGATAGGTGGTGCTTTCAGTCAATAGCTCATGGGTTTTAATCCCTCTCTGCCTACTTCAACCTGGGCAACTGGGTAGCATCACTAGTCAGGACACAATAAATGCGGCTCAATTGAGTAATGTTTACCTAACGTCAGATGATAGGAGTGTTCGTAGAATTTATCCGGTTCTGCAATAACTTTGTTATTTCTATTCATAACTTAGTAGAGTTAAAGGATTGAGCGAAGAAATATTTACTTTTCAATTATATCCTCATCTCTTTGTGTATCTCTATTCTAATATATATAGCATTTTTATTACAATACATAATAATTTGCCAATCAAGAGGCGATATATTTGTTATCAATAATTAGTCAATATCAACATGTCAAACCGAGGTGATAATTAACGAAGGAAATTAATACACACAATGAAAAGGCAGAAATGGTTGCAACACATGGATTGCGCAATGTATAATTTTGGAAAAGTGAAGAGTAATTAAGGTATAAGCGTGTGTATAGGTTGATTACGTTACAGATTGTTAAAGAAAATAAAACGATTTGGACAATGATAACTTGTAACCAAGTCTGAAGTGGTCGTAAGAATAAAATAATTTTACAAAGATAACATGTAATTAAAGATGAAGTAGTCAGAAAAAATGATAAAATAATTTGGGAAATTATAATTTTTAAAGGTTTAGGGGGAGGGGAGTGAAGTAGTTCTGTTTATACATTCATGTAACGATGGGCAAGGTAAGGGAAGTGGCAGTACAAATATCTTCTGAACACATACAGGTTTGGCTTTTTCAGGTAGGTTCCTACGGCTTCAGCTGTATGTAGAAGATGAACTCGTAAAGCAAAATTAAGATTAACAGGAAGGCGATGCATAATTTTAAATGCTGTATTGACGTCAATCTTATGCTCACTATCTACAAGATGCATTCAATCCTTCTGCTTTCTATATGTCTATATGGGGATTTTTCTATATTCGCTATGCAAATAATTCTAGTTTTCCTTTTTTTCGCAGAAGTAATACCTGTTTTTTGGGCCATCCCCCTCATTATATAAGTAGTCAATTTTGGTAATTTATAATCAGTTTTACTTCGAGGTTATCTGTTTGCCATCCGTAATTAAATTTTTTTCAATAACTCATTTGAGATTTATGTAATAGTTTATGAGAAGTGGAGTTATCAAAGTCGAATTTCTTTTTCCACTGCTATTACACTTTCTGTATTCACAGCACGGTTTTCGTTGAATCAATAATTTGTTAATTTTTCATCCCCTCCCCCTCCCTGTTTTTAGTGTCGTGAAATGATGTCTGCCTGTCAAGATCGTGTTTTAGCCAATACAACTAAACTTCAAGCCGATCAACGTGAATATATTAACCGACAAGCTGCAACACAAGAAGCTGATCGAATTCGTCGTCGTGCTGAAGATAAATTAGTGGCTGCTAATCAAAAAGCTCGAAGTAAAGGTAAAGATCCTGATAATAGTCAAAGATCAATGCGAGCACAAAATGAATATGACTTGGTAAGTGTGTACTCATATATATGCATATTCATATTACTGCGGTCGGTGATTTCGTTGTACTATGTTCACAGTTGTCTGTTATGCATGATAGCATGGTGCCTCATTTTGATAACTCGGATTGCGCATAAATCGTAAATATTGTGTCATGAAATAAAGAATTAAACTAGATAACCGTATGATGTTACTTGTAAACGTTTGGCTGTTAATTAATGTTAATTTCAGTTTTAGATGTAAAAGAAAGTTAAATGAAGCTGTCGGCTCCTATGACTGTTGCAAAATTGATGACAGTGATATAGAATCCAAGTCTGAAGTTAAGTATCTTGGATTAATTCTTTCTACTGACTTATCCTGGTCCTCCCATGTCTTAGCGACTTCTAAAAGAATATTTCGTCTGACTTTTTACATTAAGAAGTTAAGGCACTCAGGCACAACCCAACCACTCCTCTTCTTACAGTTTGTCAACTCGTGCATCTTACCTATTCTTCTTTCCTGTTCACCCTTATTCTTTCCTGGATTGCTTGAAAAAGACTGTCATACTTCGTAGAAGTTTGAAGACTGTCAGTAGGACGAGTGTTATCCCATGAGGCCATATCGTTGACATTGTCACTGATAGGCACTTGATGTCATTCAAAAAATTTGCTAAAGGAATTTCGTCAGACTGTGAGCAACCACTTTACCCGCAGCTCCAACCTTGTGTCTCCTCAGGTAAAACAAGAAATCTTTTCAGACGACTTTATGCACGTACGTCTAAGTATAAAAATTCCACTATACTATATTTGACTGCACGTACTTTATGTGATGAAAATAGTGTCAGGCATGAACTAACCTTCTTTGTACTACTAAATATACCATTTCCTCCACCCTTACAACATCAGCCTTTATTGTTATTGTTCCTCTTATATGAATAATCCTCTCAAGTTTTTGTTTTTATTTATTTTTTCATAAGTGTGAACATAATTCAAGCTGTGTTAATAACTGTTAATTTTGTATTTCCCCTCACCATACTATATCAACAGAACCTTAGATTCAATAATGTATAATATGCTAAAATTTCCCAACTGTATCGACAATACTGTTTGAAACAAACTCACTATTATTATTATTATTTTATTTAATATTCTCATTTTGTACTTCGAATATTGTTGACTTTGTATCGTAGACGTGGACAAATTCCTCTGGTTAATTTGTTTTGATTTTTAATTCTATGTATGTTTTAAGTAAATCAGATGCAACATTGTGAGAAATGCTGAGAATTTCATTTTGTATTATAAGTACTGTTTTTGGAATAAAGTATATTATTATTATTATTATTTGGGCACTGTGATGGGATATAATGGTATGCTAGGATAAGCTTGTTTAATATAATACACAGTTGTATTGTTTTGATTACTGGATCACGTGTCGAGCACAATTTATATTGCTCATAACCATATCAGTGTATACACACAGCTTCATTTTTCTCAACCCTTATCGGGCGTTGCATCATTTTCGATTACACACGTGTTTGGTGTTGATTTGAATGAATAACGAATCAGTGATTAACCTCCGTCTCCCCACCTAACTATATTACTTTTTATTACTTTCATCCTATCTCGCTCTATTGTGCGATTATTATATGCAAGTGAATGCATTGCAATGTCTGAGCTTTTTAATATATGTGTAAAACGTGGGCACTGTGTTAGTAAGTAATTCCATATTAGTTTGTTTATTACATGTATCACACAGTGAATCAGTATTATTTACTGGAGGACGATGTTTCGAACACAATTTATTGTTCATAATCACATCAATTGTAGTCACACGACTTCGAAACTCGAGTTTTATAGTTTTCTTTGTTCTCTCCCATTTGTCGTCGTTGGAGTAGTAGAATTTTCCAGATATCTGGGACAGGTGTTGAGTCATTCCTATTACATGTATTTGCAGTTGATTCGACAAATTAAGCTTTCGCTATCAATCTCTCCCTCCACCCTAGTGTGACATTATATTTTAAAACTGCCATCCTATCCCATCCTATTGTATGGTTGTGTGTAATTGCATGTAGTGAGTGCAATAGCTGAACTATTCTCTAGATTTCTTATCTTTTTGTTTTGTTTTAAAGGCTCCACAGAATCCTTTAACGGACAGAACAATTTAGTTTATCTAATACCCTGTTTGAATGATTGTCACGTCAAATGCACAGGTCAAACTAGTAGAACAGGTGCAGTCAGACTAGCCGAACATAAAATCCTAGCAAAATATAGATTGGTTCACCCGAATAAGATAAGAAATCTAGAGAATAGTTCAGCTATACCACTCACCACATGCAATCACATACAACCATACAATAGGATGACAGTTTTGAAGTCTAATGTAATAGGGTGGAGGGAGAGATTGATAGCGAAAGCTTAATTTGTCGAATCAACTGCAAATACATGTAATAGGAATGACTCAACACCTGTCCCAGATATCTGGAAAATTCTACTACTCCAACGACGACAAATGGGAGAGAACAAAGAAAACTATAAAACTCGAGTTTCGAAGTCGTGTGACTACAATTGATGTGATTATGAACAATAAATTGTGTTCGAAACGTCATCCAATAAATAAACAAACTAATATGAAGTCTGAGATTTTTTCTAGATTATTTAACTTGACTTCTGTAGATAAAATCCCTATATTCCGATAATCTGATTGACCCCGTTATACTTCACTGAACAGCACAGAAACGACCTTCCAGTGATTGCACCTTGTATTTGATAAATTATATTATTTTTGATTGAATCTAAAGCTGACAAAGTTTGTTCTAACCACTATACAATGTATTCACTTGCATGTAATCACACAACAGGGGGTGAGATAGGGTGAAAGTGTAGTGAGAGAGTTGTCTGCAAGCCAAAATTGTAGACAGCAATTTACGTCAATGTTACGTCCCGACTGGGGGTCATGAGAAAAAAACAATAATAATGCTTAACCTAGAGGAACTCACTAACCAATCACAGCAGACTTAACGTGTGCAAATACGATTCACAGATTTATGGCCTGACTTTCTATGAAACGGTCACAAGGTCATGACAGAAAAACCTTCAGCGAGAAAACAACCAATCAGAAGACAATGCTTCTCTGCTAACAGTAACGCTAATAATAATGTACATAAAAATCTATAAATAGGTCTTTTTTTCTATAAACGACCTGTTACCTGGCCCTTGTCTTCTGTTGTTACAAAAGTATTAGAAAATAATATAGTTAGGTGGAGGCAGTGAAAGGGGTTAATCACCGAATCTTTGTCCTCCGAATCAACACAAAACACTTGCAGTCGAAATGATGCAGCGCTTGTACCGAATAGACGGAAAATTCCAATGAACAATAGGGAAGAGAGCAATAAGTTGTGCTCCAAAATGCCATCCAGTTGCGAAACTATCACTTTCCGCTATAAACTTATCCAATATGGAGTTGGCCATTAATGTTACGTAATATTATGACTGGTTAAAGTGAACTTTCACTTTATGATTGTCTTATATTGCCTTGCTTAACCCAATAATTAATTCATCACTGTACACTTTTTTGTTTCTTTTCGGGTGGTCGGTCGGAATTTAAGGTCTTCAGTTTATATCCTTATATTATGCATATTTTCGTCATAAATCGTAAACAGACAACTGGTTTTATTTTTTCGTATCCACATTAGTTAGTATAACTGCCATTCCAAATAACTGTACAAATCAAATGTCTAATAAATTATAATAGAAAAGAAATTGTTTTTCAGTCATGCATTTAGTTGTACGCAATACCTGTGCCATCTAGCTGTAGGTAGGTAGGTAGGTAGTGAGTGAGTGAGTGAGTGCACCATTGGTAGTAAATTCACTTTTCTGTCTCTTTCTCTCTCTCTAGTTTGTGTCAGTTTATTATTCCACCTACGATTGTTTTTTTTGATTCACTCGACTTTATTTATATGTACACTTGTGTATATATACTCGTGTATTTTTATGGTACCTATTTGTTTTTGTTTTTTAATGAATCTTAGTCCACATAGACTTCTTATTGCATAGTTGTTATCCTGTGGTTATAATAATAATAATAATTAATCAAATGCATTTATTGATTGTTCTAACAAAAAGTTCATTTCTGTGCTTTAATCATGTTGGGCTTTGTTTATGCTATAGAGAGATGGAGTCATTGTTTGTTTAGTTGGTTTATTACTATTATTATTTTCAATGTTGTTTATCATTTTATTTGTTTGTTTTTTTGTCAAGGAAAAGAAATGTGTTCAGCTTGTGTGTGGGGGGGGGCGGATAACATATACATATATCGAGTGCTTCTTTTTGCTTCCCTTCTACTCTTTTCGATAGGATATGTGTAGCCCAAATATCTTTATCTTTCTGTCATATTGTTTACAGTGTTATTCATTTGTTGAAGTCATTGGTACACCTTGGAGACACACGTTAAGAGGTAGAATGAAAATTATGCTTACTGAAGAAATACACAGTAGGACAGATTGTAGACAGTGAAGCATCTATCTTCTCAAATACTTTCAGCAGACTAACTGTCATTGTCCCCTGCATCTTGGAATACTTGACTGACAGTGTATAGAAATTTACACATAGTTTAGTTTGTTGCAGTTATTAAAGAAGAAAAAAAACAGCAACATAAAAGTAATGCAATAGAATAGAACTGCAATGTGAATTGTGTGATATGTATATAAGACAGATAATAATTACGAAGAAATTAAAGAAATCAGTTCAAAGAACTTTTAATGCTGTCGAACTATGCGTATTATTCTCTATACGACCGATGGTGCTACCTCGACTGAAGGATGAAGTACCTAGGCTAGCTACTTCAAATTGTATCTACCAATTCAACTCCGCTGATGGTGGAGCGAGGTATATTGGTCGTTGCTGTAGGAACTTGATTTTTCGTGCTCGAGAGCATCTCCCAACCATGGCTAAGTAAGGGTGTATTTAAAACCATTAACCGTTCGATATTGTACCATCTGGTGCAAACCGGCCGGCCACAAAGCCAGCCAACGT